CCCTCCCTCCCTCCGCTTCTCTACTTCTAAATTTTTATGAATATGTACAGAAAAACACTTTACTGTGACATTTTTATCTTTTTACAAGTCTTTGGGCTTCTTTAATACAAAAAACTGTCTCCCACCCTCCTTTGTCTCGCTGATATTTTGTATGTTTCCAAGGTGAAGAGAGCTGTAAGCCCCCAGAAAAGTCATAAATGGGACAGTGCAGGAACAGGTCTTATGTTCTCATCTGCTCTTGTGCGGGTAGACCTGCTGTGCTTGGCTGTGACCATAGTCCTCTGTCCTTCCGTTGTCCTTCATCCCTCCCTCGTCTCCCTCTTTTTGCTCCGCAGGAGATCGTCAACTTCAACTGCCGTAAGCTGGTGGCCACCATGCCCCTCTTTGCCAACGCCGACCCCAACTTTGTCACTGCAATGCTGACGAAGCTGAAGTTTGAAGTCTTCCAGCCAGCGGACTACATCATCCGGGAAGGGACGATTGGCAAGAAGATGTACTTCATCCAGCATGGCGTGGTCAGCGTCCTCACCAAGGGCAATAAAGAGATGAAGCTCTCGGACGGCTCCTACTTTGGAGGTGAGGAAGGCCGAGGAGCTTGCATTGGACATTTGGGGACAGGTGCAAGACGGCCTGGCTGTTTCTGATGCCAGTGAGTTAGGGGGGTTTAGTCTAGCGGCCCTGTGTGAGGGTACCCTTAGGCTCAGCCAGGACTCTTGCACTGGGACAGGAGGGGAATGCCTTGTTGTTTATACCTCCTCTTCACTGCTTCGTGGGCTTCCAACTTGTTTCTGCACGGGTGTATAATTCTTTACTGTCATTTATTCATTGTATTTCCGTACTGGTGTTAACATGAGCGGTCTCAAATTTATTTGTTTGGTTAATTTATACCCCACCTTTCCCCCCCTACGGAGACCCAAAGCAGCTTGACTGTTTTATCCTCACAACAGCCTCGCAAGGTAGGCTCGGCTGAGAATATGTGACTGGCCCAAGGTCACCCAGTGAGCTTCCCTGGCAGAGCGGGAATTTAAACCTGGGTCTCCCAGATCCTAGTCCATCCCTCGGACCACTACACCCCCCTGGATCTCAAAGCGGTTTGCATTTAACTAAAGCAAGAGGGATCCTGGGAGGAGGGGCTGTCGGAGGGAGCTGGGGCACTGCCCCCTATATGGAAAGCCTGCTCACTGCGTTCTGACGTCATCAAATTGAGGCATAACATTCCCTGAGCTCTGCAGTTTCCAGCTACTGTCACTAGTGTTTTAACTTGCAGTTTCTCGTGTACCCAACAAGATATTCTCTTGATTCTTTCACTGCAGTATTCCAGACACTTCACACTAGCTTACAGTGTGACTGAGTTAAGTTTCCCTTGCATATTTGAGTGCATGTTTCGTATAATTTACAAGCATATCAGAGGGGAAAGTGGTGGATGTCTATTGTATGATGGTATGGTGTTGTCAAATAACTTCTGGTTTTCAGTATTACTTTTTATTTACCATTGACACTCATGAGATAGAAATATGCACAAACTCATACTT